CATAGAGTTTGTTGCCGCCAACTGAATTTCTATGAGGCATATTTGTCCTTTGAGACAGCAAATAATGTTCCGGATTTTTTTTTTTTACTTATATGGGCAATTATTATCACAAGTACCATTTAACATTAACATTGGTAATTAAAACTTTTTGGGGCTTTAATAATGTGTGAGGAAGTCAATTTAAATATTAAAATATATGTCAGAAAACTGATCAGTTCTTAATGAAGCTTAACAGTTTCTTCTCTCCTCACACCATCAATTCCTCTTTCTTTTCATCCTCTCTCCAATCTCTCTTTCTTCTTTTTGGTAACTCTTTTATACCATTCCACAGCCCTTATCCTGATCTCCATCCCTCCGCTCTGCCATCTATTTCACCATTGTTCTCCATTCTTTCTGAATTCTTAACCTAGCTCTTCATTATTTTCCAACTTGTTCTTTTTCCTCTTTCCCCAAAATCCCCCATTCTCCGGTTTCTCCTCATATTTTCCTCCCATCATGCCTTTTTTTCCGGGGCCCTGCTGCTCCTTTCACTGGTAATTCATCACATTGTCTCTGCTCCTGGGTTATCCCTGCACACACACCCAGAGTTAGTTAGCGGTGGATGTGGTCTGGGAGTAGTGGTAATATTCTCAGGGCTTAGGCTACAAAGAAAGTCTCATCCCGGCCCATTTGTTGTCTGCTATCTCAGCAAACACAAGCCCGCTTCGGCGCGTGCGACGGCTTGTATTACTCATGTCGATGAGGCATAAATCTGCAGCCGCATTGTGAGGTCTCTTCTCCCATTTGGGGACAAACAGCACTTTTCTCCCACGGAAGTGCTTCCATTTATGAACACTTTGGTTTAAGTTTAGAGCATTTACAAATCGGGCGGAAGAACCAGCTGAAGCCAGGCTTGTAGTGACTCTAGCTGAAGTTTCTCTCATAGAAATAATCTGTATTTTCAGACCACCAGACCAGCTTTCATTCATTTCTTGCAACACAATCATTTTGTAGTATTGTTCCCTGCTTTGGTTTTCATATGCCATATCTCTGCCTGTCTTGTCTGCTCACTCTACAGCCAGAGAGCAGACCTCGTCTGGGTATCTGGATGAAAAGAAAATGTTTTGTTTAAATAAAAAAAAAACTCATCCTCAGTTAAACTTAAAATATGAAAACTGATCCTCAAGTTACCTTTCTAAACTTACCTCAAAGCACAGCCATTAGCATGCTGTCGCTAATTGTTACACCAGCTCTTGGTTATTAATCATTTACTCGCTCAGAATTTAATGTTTTAGGTTTTTATTTGGACTGAGTCAGAGCCTCTTCATTGATTTGAGTTTCTTCTACTTGTGCCGTGTTCTCAAACTCAGGCCATTACAGTGCTCTGGGTTTAGTTGAATACCGGCTTTGCTTGTCTAATACACACATATTAAAACACAAAAGTAAAAACATAGACTTTTGTTTTTCCCGTGGCGCCTCCGCAAAACCAGGATGCGTTGAGTGGGTCGTTAACAGGCTGCAGCACAACTTGACGACGAGCTAATGAGCCCCCGTTTAAATCAGGTCCGAGGGAGCAAGGAGCTCTCTGAAGCGTGCAGGCTGCCGGATCCCAGAAACAGGACTGGGAGTCGAAGCATTAGACATGTTTTGTTTAGTTTTTCATTCATGACCGCTCGGCAAAGGCCTGAGTGTGGAAAACCCACAGTTTTTGTTCCCCATATTGAGAAAAGATGGAAGCCATAACAGCATTTTCTTATAGAAAGAAAAACAGTGAGCTGGTTAAACAGTGCTCCCTTCTTTTTTGAAAGTATAAATCAGAGGTGTCAAACTCCAGTCCTCGAGGACCGCCGTCCTGCAGGTTTTAGAGGTTTCCCTGTTTCAACACACCTGCTTCACATCATAGAGCCATTAGCAGGTCTCAACATTAGCTGAACAATGTCCAGAGGAGATCCAATTTAATCAAAATCAGGTGTGCGAGGCAGGATAATGTCTTAAACCTGCAGGACAGCGGCCATCGGGGACTTGAGTGTGACACCTCTGGTAAAAAATGAATGAAATCAAGAGACTTTTTGCAAGAAATGAGCTGAATACATGCTAATGGTTCAAATTACTTCAGAAATTCACATTCTTTTCGGAGATCACCACTTTTAATGGCTAAACAAATGCAATTCTATCTATCTATCTATCTATCTATCTATCTATCTATCTATCTATCTATCTATCTATCTATCTATCTATCTATCTATCTATCTATCTATAAATAAATAAAAGTTAAATAAAACATTTTTTTTGGTTTTAGTAGTTTTTTGTTACCTGCCAGCTCAATCTTTGTGAGGCACAACTGACTTCAACGATTGTTACCAGCGCTAACCTGTCAGTCAATTTTCCAAGCTGTCTTCATGTGCCGTCTCCGAGTCTCAGAGACGTTATTCTCTGCAGGATTTTTGTCGATCGAACTCGGGGAAGGCCGGAATGAAACAGCCGAAGCCCGCCGGGTGAGCCGGTTATCTGCGTCCTGCAGGTTCTCAGACGTGTCTGCGGCTTCAAATGGAGGATTGATTTTTTTCTGTTTTGACACGGCGACGCAGAGCTGTGTCAAAACGCAAAAGCCCGTCTCACTTAGTAGGAGGCCTTGACTTTCTGAGTGAATGTCTGCGAAAGTGTCCCCGTCTTTCAGTGTTGTGCCGTTTAAATGTGCGCACCCACTTTTTCCTGTATGTGTTCACACACCCCGACCAACAGCAGCCTGAAACATTAAATGTAATCATTCCTCCAAATGTAAGGAAAAAAAGTAGCTCAATTTTCATTAACGATCCTCTTCAAAAAATCTAAGTGTTTTCAGTGACTTTTTGAAAGTTAAGTATCACAGTTTTGCTGTATTTCTTTCTTTCTTTTTGTCAGTTCTTCTATAAAAGGGAGTGGTTGTGCCTACAGTTGCCTACACGCTCCTTCACAGGTTGTGCAGGGGGGGTGTGATGGGGGATGCTCTGCTGTGTGGAGGAGACATAGAAACCTCTCTGAGGCTGCTGAATGTGCTCTGCAGCATCTAAAAGGAGAGATGAGGTCACACTTTACTATCATCCTGCCTGACGGTGAGGCGTGACACTTACTTTGTGCGTCTTATCTGTTCATTGTCGATCTTGTCTGCTGAGCTTATTTTGTTCTCGGCTGCTCTCTTATCAGCCCCTCACTCTGTCAGTTTCCCCTCGACAATTTTATCTATTTGCAGTGATGAATAAAAGATCAATTATCAACATGTTGGCATTTTTAAGGTATTTGCACATTGCTCTGAAATTTGAGGATCTTCAAAGACAAAGTCGGAAACAAGGAAACCACGGGACGCGGAACATCTCGCTTACAAACCCATCTCATCACCTCCCAGGTAGAAATACGTACGATGTCTCCAGCAATGCATTCACCAGCCATCAGTCTGGAAATCTCCTTCATCAGTGATGACCTGGGATAATCCCAGACATTCACCATTTCATGTCTTGGCAGCCAAAGTCAGAAATAGTGTATTTCAGCCAATTCCATAAACCTAAATTTGTTTAAGTGACAATTAAGATCCAGATTATGATTTTATTTTTGTTTTTTTTGAGGCAGACCTGCATTCTTTCTCCTAAAGCCTGATAAATTCAACCCAAATGAGTTGGATTATTTCAAAGAAAAAAGTCCATTTAAACTTTCTTAGTGCCACATAATAATGGCATTAATAAATCGTCATCTGTGCCTGTTTAAACTTGAGGGTAAGATGAAAACATAAGAAGTATTTTGAGGCAAGGACAAACAAAGTCTTTGCTTTTTTAGGAGTTCTGTTTAGTGTAAACTTTTATCTCTGGCATCCCACACACGCCACAGTGACTTCAGTTTTTCCACAAATGCAGATGAAGAGTGAGACGACAATTCAGTTTTCCTTTGTGTGATCACGACTTCAGGTGGTCTGCCAGATAGTCGCACACAAAAACAAAGGCAAGCTGGTTAATTGTCAATTCACAAGCTGTCGGCAGAGCGACACATTTTGCACAGTTCTGCTTCAAAACGGTGAAAGGGGTTGAGATTGACGAAGGCTCCTGGCTGAGTCGGGGCGTAGTTCCCTGGATTGGACCACCATTTTGACTGTGTGGATGATAGGCTGTGAGTGTCTGTGTGTCTGTGCTGTTCCTCCATGTGTCAACAGTTGAGGTGTAGTGGCAGAGGCAGCTTTTCTGCCACCTAGTGAGTGACAAACTGCACTGCATGCTGCCTGGAATCCTGACAGACTTGAACATGTCTGCAGGCCTCCAGAAGGCTGACAGATGATCACAGTCGGAATCCAGCGTGTATTCGGCTAGTTTTAACATCACATCTGAGGATTTCAAGGCATTTTATGGCTTTGTGACTATTTGCTGAAGTCAATCAATGATTATTTCAATCTTGTATTTGAATCTTTTAAATGCTTTTTTGAATTGTTTAATAATTTGTTTCTGGTTGACTAAATGATGTTTGGATTCCCAAAAAAGAAAAACATTTCTAGAAGTATGTTTGAAATCACAACAGCCCGTGTTTTGCTGTTTTTAATGAGTGAATCCCTCGACATATTCATCATTTATTGTTGATTATTTCGGCTTATCTTCTATAACTTCCACCATGTTGAACAGAACCAACTGTCCATAATTTTTCTGTGGTGCTCGTGCACTTTTATTATTTCAACCTGACTTCGAATTCTCCTCCAAGTCCATTCTCAGATTTCTTCTGCTCTGCATTATTTTTCTCTATTTTTCACATTTGTCATTGTGAGAGTTTCTAATATAACTTCACAGGCATATGAGACTGTTTCCACACTTTATTTCTTTAAATAATGTTATAATTGAATGTTTTTCTTAAATACAAAAGTGTGATCTATCAGTGCAAAATCAAGAAATATGAAATTCTTCAGTTTCCACTAATTTATTCATTCAAAATGTCTTAGACAGCAGATTTAGTTTGGGTTCCTCTCATCTCTTGTTCTCCATATTTCTGCTTTTAAATGACATGACCTGACATTTTTTCTTTTCCAGATGAGTTCGTTTAGCACGCGAGCTCTGACGCTGCTCTCCTCGGTCTTCGGGGCCTGCGGTCTTCTGCTGGTGGGCGTCGCTGTGTCCACAGACTACTGGCTGCTGATGGAGGAAGGCATCGTCCTGCAGCAAAACCAGACCACTGAGGTCAAGATGGCGCTTCACTCTGGCCTCTGGAGAGTTTGCTTTGTTGCAGGTCAGCAGCATTTTCATGCACATATTGATTCGGTTCACATCAAGCCATTTCATTTAGCATTTCTCCTGCTTTTCGAAGTTCTCTTCAACGTCCTGGACTTTTCAGGGATAATCAGGGACAAAGCATGTGGGCCTATTTTAGAGGGAAACTGCTGACGATGCTGAATTGTACGACCAGTTTTCCCTGCCAAACATGCATTTTTTATCAATTTTTTTTAGGCTGGAAAAATATGTTAGTTTTTCTGCTTGTTAACATTTTATACATTAGTATTTATTAATGATGTTCCTGAAAAAGACAGACTGAATTTAAACATAGAGTTTATCTGACTGTTTGCAAATACAACAGGTGGCTACGTTTAAGCACATGAACAGCCTTTCTGGAGATTGCTCTTCCATCACTAATTATCTGTACATTTAAATCACATAATGAAGGACCACTTAACTTTTTAGTCAGAAAAAAAGTTTATTTTATAAAAAAAAACTCTCTTAAGTGGGGATTTGTAATTAGCTACTAATCCTAAACCTTACCAAATACTTCTACATGTTGGTCGCCCGTCATTGGAAAAAGAAAAAAAAAACAATGACTGAAAGACTTTCACTTTGGTTTTTCTGAACTCAGAGAACTTCTGTTATTAGTATTAAAAGTTATCTTTACAAAAACCACTAAATATCATTCATTATTTCCTACAGAAATGTAATGCATTCACCTGTGGCTGAATCGTCTATTTGTCATGATCAGGTTAAAAATAGTCCTGCACATACAGACAACAGTAGACACAAACAACTGTGCCTTTTTGCAGAAGCTGTCTCTGTTTTGGGTCATGATGGTGTCGCTCTGGGGAGGCGGCCATGTTTGTGTTTCCCTGTCGTCTGATTCTTGGTACAAAAGGTCAGAGGAGGAAAATGCTGATGGCATTTTGAATAGCCAAGTGGATGTCAGTGCGTGGGTGAGAGAGGGAGGGACCGTATCACATTTGTCTGTATGCGTATTCGTCACTCTGTTGCCGTTTTTGTGTGTTTTGTGCACGGCTTGTGTGTGCGAGTCCCTTCCCAGTGGGACCACAGCTTAAGGTTAATCGTCGTGTCTGAATTCAGCTCGCCTCGCTCTCGGTTCAGAACCCGTCTGTGCCTCTAATTCTGTTATTCGCTCACTTACATTCTCAGGTTCCCTATTTGTTTGTCCCTACCCCGCCATACCTGTTTTGGTCTCTGGGGTTCCTTTCGTTTGTTTTGATTAATTCTTTCAAAATCTAAGCATTCACATGCGCTCAGTCTCATTTTTAAGGTCTGCCTTCTCTCTGTGTTTTATGACCTTTAGTTTTTTCTGTTTGTTTTTCCGCCCAAGATTAATCTCCATATGCTTATATTTCAATCTCGCCTGTGCCCAAAGGAAGATCCTGATAACACCTTCTCGAATGGCTTCTCTCACCTGCCTTCATGCGTCTTTTTCTCGCACTAGTCTGTCCTTTTTTCTTTTTTCCCCTAGGACCAGAAAAGGGAAGATGTGTTGCATCAGAATATTTCACCGAGCCAGAGATAGAGATCACAACAGAAAATACAGCCAACATACTCAGTAAGTCACATCTTTGTATACACGCACACACAGACAGACACACATATATATATATATATATATATGTATATATATGGAGAGAGAGAGATACACATAAGGGTGGGGTTTAATATGTGTGTGTTTACATGACTTTGGATTTGGTATAAATAAATAAAAATCTAACTATTAATAATAAATGTACTACATAGATAGGTAAAATGACCTTTATAGCCAAAAGAAGCATAAAAAACAATCTGCAAAGATGATCTCTCTGTGCACTGGATGGAGTTTCCATTGAATAAGTAGCTAAACGTATTCAGAGTTCTCTGCGAATTTCCCTATGGAGTTCTTTGTCTCTGAGCGCTTTAAATGATTTAAGATGTTGACACTATGAACCGGCCTCAGAAGCGTTCTTCCCCTCTGCAGTTTGTTCTGCCTCTTTGAAGTAAAGCGCTCGGTGCCAGAGACACCGAGGGGTAGATGTGTGGTCTGTTAAAACGCTAGATAAATACCCTCAGGTGGGCACACAACTCATGGCACCGCCGGGGCCGAGGCGTAAAAACTGGTGAATAAATCAGGACTCTGCTTAACTCAGCACAGACTGAACTCCGGCAGAACCTTTGTGTTTAGGAGAAATTCAAACCACACCCACAGTTTCAAATAAAAAAAATGCCCAAACTTTTTACTTTCATGCTTACAAAAAAGACACCAGATGGGAACTATAATGAGTCTGTCTAATTTAACCGTCTTTGGATGAATTCTTGAGTTGGCACTTCATTTTGCTCTTTTCTCCAGAGATGGTACGGACTGCCACCCCCTTCCCCATGGTGTCTCTGCTCTTCGTCTTCACGGCCTTCGTCATCAGCAACATCGGGCACATCCGGCCCCAGCGCACCATCCTGGCCTTTGTTTCTGGTATATTCTTCATTCTATCAGGTGAGACACGCATGCAAAACCTGGGAAGCCCCAGACACACAAAAAGCTGTACTATTTTTTGTTCTGCGTTAACTTTTAGAGAAGAAACCATACCCTGAGTCAAGTTTTTCTTTGTAGGTGTTTAAAGTAGAGACAAAATCTCACAGGTATACTGTGGAACAACCAAATGCTGTTGGGTTTGAACGCTTTCTCCACAGATTTCGCCAATTAATCTGCTATGATTTGTTGTCATTGAAAAACAGCCCGGGAGAAAAAACTCAGAGAACAGCTGTCCCAGAATCTTTGGATTGAGGGTCTATAGAGAGTAAACATGTTTTTTAGCGCTACAAAAGGGAAATCTGCTCATGGCTTTTGCGCCTAAAGAAAAAAAGAAAAAAAAAAGAGAGAAGAAACTAACTAACTCCATCCAGCTGATGGGACATATGCACATATCTGAGGAACATTTCTCTTCCTGCCTGACTCAAAGGTTTATAATCAGGTTATTAAACCTCCTCAGCTTTGCTCAGGTCAGTATCATTTAATCCAACTTTAAATTAAAGTCTTTCCTAACCCCAATGGGGGAGCTTTAGAGCTTATTTCCTCACTAAAGATAAGAAAAAGCTCAGAATTAAATGCTGGCTGAGGTCACAGGCTCTGTGACCCCTCTGTCCTCAAACTGTATTGCTTTCTCATTACAAAGTTGTACAGTTGTATTTCTGCAGCAATACAAACACATAAGAACACATTTCTCACATTGTCACTGAAGAGCAGTGCAACCATGTTCAATTAAATCACCAACGGCAGATATAGCTACCGTAGTCAGGAAAAAAACATAAATCAGCAATCAAGTAAATGATTAAATGATCAACTAAAAAGATTCTTTGTCATAATTGACCTGAAACTGAACATTTTCAGTCCTTTGGATCAGATTGTGTGCACATTGTGTAGTTAAATATTTACAGGGTTAAATTTTCTCCTAGGCCAAATATTAAAATGTATCCGATTTTGGTCTAGCCTAGATTTTTACATGCTCAAAATGTCCTAAGGCCATAAATCTAAGGGGATCTCACATGCACAGTGATGTGAAAATGCACCAGTAGACTCTAAAACTGACCTGGTGCGGAGTTAGCTCAGTTGAATTTCTTAATGCCCTCGCTTAGAGTGTTTTTGGAGTTGCTTTTTGAATCATCAATGATGTGATCTGACTTTTTAATTGTGTTTACTCGACTTGTGAGGGGCCAGCCTTGACTACAGCGAGAGTCTGATCTGACATCAATATATAGCCGGAAAAGACAAATGCATTTCTCAGCACTCTTAGAAGTCAACACCTGAGTATATTCAGCCTCCAGTATCACACAGTTAAAAATGAGCAGAGGTGTTAAGGGGATTAGATCGACCGACTGATGAGAAATGCATTTCATTGCTCTCAATCCACGTCTATAGGGAAAAATTTCAGAGGGAGGCAACATTAACTGAGACAAGATGCCACGATGTGAACAGGGTTTCAGTCATAATTTGGTTAATCAACCACTGACACCAAAAGCTGGATCAGAACACATCTAGAATTTTAAAAACTAAATTAAATTGCATTAGGCATTCAGCTGGTGTAGAAGCTCCTTCCAGTTTCTCATCTGCGGTGCGAGCCCCCAGAAACTGGCTTCAAAACATCCAAAGGACTCTCATGGAATGCAAACTACATGTGAAATGTGTCCCACGGGTCACCATGTAGTCGTCAGCTGGACCGACTCCTTTGAAGACCTGTCCTAGTCTAATCATGTCCCATCAGCATCCGGCCCTAAAAGACAGCGAAGGCATCATCAGCTCAAGGCTTTAGAGTGGCGATATGCATCCATCTGGTATGTGGGGCCTATAGTTTATGCGTCTGAAATGAGACGTTAAAGAGCAGCAGCGCAGAGAAGAGACATGTTTTTCAAAAGTCAACAGCCCTAAAGGTTAATGATAAAAAAAAAGACAGCTTGGCTGATGGAAGATTCACTCCGCTGCTCTTAGGCGTCCTTCCCAACTGACAGCTTGTCAGACCACCTTGCTCTCGCTGTAGGCTGAACTGAGAGAGGGATTAAATTCTAAATTATAGCTTTCTGCTGGGAGAGCTCAGGGCAGGGTGGTGTGGGGTCTGGGTGGGGGGGATTCGACGATTCTCTGCAGGTTTGTGCCGAACCTCGAACCAAAACTTTGTCGGAGTGGGAATTTTCCCTCAGAAGGGCTGTAAGCAGGCACTGATTCTCCCCTCCCATTACCCCACTGTAGTAAATAGACTGGACATCAGCCCTCGCTGCAGGCCCAATCTATTCCAGACACGTAGCTGAGTGGAAAGCTACTGCATGAAATGTTTGATCATACTTTCATGAATTTGCAGGCTTCTCTAAAAAAAACAAAAAACAAACAAAACAAAAAAAAAAAACAGGGATTATCCTTGAAATGAATCATTCACCCAAATGATGTGGGTAAAAGTCAGACAACCTATTTTTGTGTGCATTATTTTGTGCCCCGGTAGAGATTCCTCATAGTTAAGGCTCCAGTAATCTACAGAAATATTTAACCAATAGTGTGATTACACTATTATGGATTTTACTCATTTTCCTGATCTGAACTCGCATATAAAACACCTATAAAAGCCTGCAGGACCAGATAGCACTTCCAACTTTCCTTGTAGTACTGCACACGCAAAATGACAAATGTGTTCAAAGTGAGTCAGAGTCAGACTTTCAGAACTTCTAGGTATCAATGATCTTCTACCGTCCTTTCTGGGCTGAAAGAAACACTGGAGTTAGAGTTCAATGGAGAATCAGCCCAACGCGGGATTCAGTGATGTGACTGTGCTGACCCCTCCTCGCAAAAGCCTGTGTCACCGCTGTGTACCAGAGGAGGAAGGGGGCACTCCAAATGAGTGTCTTGTTTAGCAAATACTGTCACATGCATTTCTGTCTCACAGCAAAGTCCTCTGCCCACATTTGAGTGTCCCGTCCCTTCTCTGGTGCGTCTGCCCGTAGCGCAATTATGAGTCGAACAAGTGAATATCACCTCATATGAGGCTGCTGGGCTTGATTGTTTCCAACTGCAGCGCAGCCTGGAGTGAGAGCCAGCATGCCATCCATGGACTCAGTCCGAGCAAAACGACAGGCCTCGCTCTTTGTTGATGTCATTTAACAGAGACAATTGTAAGACGCGAATAACAAGGTTTACTGTTTTTGTTCTCTCTCTGGCCTTTGTTTTCTTACAATAAACCCTGAAACCCTTCGATGGCCCATCCAGGATGCATCCTCTCACCATTAAGAATAAACAAGATGCTTTCATTTAGGTACTGCAATTTAATACTGATATGAGACCAAAATGGCAATTTATTCTAAGGTTTGTAAGGTCTATGGACATCTTTTTACCACCGTCCACCATTTTGTTATTGAGTGTTGTTCTCTGACTAATCACTAATGTGTGTTTGAAGCAAGAATAACACTGTAAATCAAACATAACAAACATAAAAAATCAATTAAAGCATTCAGTGTTTACCAAAAGACATGCATGGTAAGCAAAACAGATTTTTTTTAATTAGCTCTTTTATATAGTTTTTAATCCAAATCAATGTATTTATTCCTCCTGAATTAATACAAATACTCAATGCTCTTTGCAAACCCACTTAAAATTTGGAAACTGTATTAGTGTATTAGCCACGTTTGCTTCCCCTTAAAATTGATATTTTATCTCTGACGTCTCTCATCAGTGTCAGAGAAATGGTGGGAAGGGAAGTTGCTGCAGCCAACAGGGTGACATCACCTCTTTGTGTAGCTGCAGGGTTGCTTCTTTGTTTTTGTTGTTTTTTTTTAGGGTGACTTCCCCCCCACACCGAGTCAAACGTCCATCTGATTAGACGATAACTGTTTTTTTGGAAGGAAATCCATATTTCTGAGTCTCTTTCCGCTGTCCATGTGGGAGCTTTGCCTCACAGATGCCAGCTTAGCATGGTGGACTGCTGACTGGACACATGATGTCACGGCAACGCCACCCAGCCAAAACGGACAAAAACAAACCCCTGCGTGTTTCACTCACATAGTCAGACAAACGCACAACATTCTCTTGGATGTGCACAAAAACATAAAATAAAACTATAAAACTAAGGGCATACATTTCACAGTCAGCATATCCATCATTTACCACTCTGCACGTGTGTGTCTATCCTTTAAAGTGATCCTCCCTTTTATCATTGCAGTCAGTGAGTTTCCCCCCCGTTCATTTTTTTAAAGTAAAGACACTGCAAACAACATAAACGGCAAACACATCAATAAATCCCGTTCATGCACGATGTCTCGGGACTACTTCATTAACTTGTCAAGCCTTTTTTTCTTAATAGTGTTTCATTTACTTAGCATCATATAGATTTGTGTTTACCCCCACCTGGGGAGCAGTATGGATGTAGGCCTCCTCGTTCAGCTCCGGAGGAACACACGCCGGCAGCAGTTGCAGTGCAGATGTTGGTCTTTTAAATGGGCAAAGCCTTTTCTTCACACAGGAATCACTAAATCTATGATAAACCATAATGTTACGCAATGGTTTGCATTTTTCAGAGCGTGTGAACTACAACGAGCATGACTTTAGCCGGGCAGTTTGGCATTTGTCAGTGTCATTATGGGCCACACGGTCTTAGTTGCCTGGTAACAGCAAATCATGTATTACAAAGAACACTTTTACAAGTTTTATTCAGTGAAAAAAGTCCAAGCGTGCTTGGCTGTGATAAAAAATTGTATTTAGTAACCATGAAAAAGCGACAAAAGTGAATTTCCTTCACCTTAAAAATAGGTGCCGCTCTTTTTGAAGTACAGCGGTTTTCATTAGACACGTTTCAGGCCTGAAAGTGGCCCGGGGCAACCGGAGGTGGAGGGAAAATTTAGCAACAATATGGCTTTAAAGAAAAAAGACAGAATGAGCACAATTTTTTTTTTCTTCCTTTTACCCCAAGCTGAAAGGATTAAACATCTGTCATGTTTCCCTCTTCTCCACCATTAAAACAGAACAGCTGGCCATTTCTGAGCTCTATGAAGAGTTGAAGGCTTGTCAAATAATAGCTATTTAAAATTTCTGTCTTGTTCATGGAAGAGGGGACATGGCCAGCAATCAGTCATCCATGATTACTTATTTCGCTCTTCGGAACTACAGAATCACAAGACTTATGTCATGTGATTTTTTTTTACTGCAAATAAGATGCATTCTTCTAAAGTTAGAGTGATCACATTTAAATCACACCTAAAATCTACATTTTGAGGTAACGTCACTTTGCAGCAGCACATTTTATAATTGTTCTGAGTCAGCATGAGCGCGTCTTTGTCATGAAACCCGTCCATCAGGCTCAGTTTACCCTGAGGTTGCATCATGGTGGCTGCAGACCAGCTGTTTCCTTCATCCGCTCCTGTTTGTCCTTCCTTCCATGTCTCCCCTCCTATCCTCTCTCTGTTTTCCCTCTTGAATGTGTGTGCTCTCATTCATGTATCACCGGGTCTGCGGATGTCCAGGACACAACACTGCCATCTAGGGGCCAATTGGTTACATTGCACGTTCTCTTCATTTTGTGTTTTAGGCACCTTTCTCTTCTGTTCTCTCTTCTACAATTTTGAATTTTTTGAGAATTCGCTGAGGGGTAATTAAAAAACATTTAAACACCATCCTCCTGTGATGGGTTTCACATCTGTCCTAATGAGGCTCAGCGTCCACATGCATGGCAAAAGCTTGCTGCTTTCCCGTGCACGTGTTTTCATCCTCTTTCTTTTGATATTCATTCACTGTTTGGCTCTGACGTGTCTTTGACCACAACAGACGCAGATGTTAACAAGTGTGAACGACTTAGCTCTTGTTTGCCTCTTTGCCAAAGCACTGGCTGCTTTTCAGCCTATTTACAGCGCGGCCAGGGCACATCATCATCAGCTAATCCAGCTCCAGAGCAGTCACATTTGCACAGCGATGCGCGCGCTCACGCACAAACATAACGGCACTGAGGTCCCATTCAGAAGAGATTAGCATTACAAAGTAACAAGGGAAATGCAACATTAGCCTTGCGCCCCGTGGTTTTCTTATAAATTAGTGTTTTTTTTTTCTTCATAGTAATCTCTCATTCTCCTGTTATCTGGAGGATGTGGTCTGCCATTTACATTTGCTTTATCTGTCTTGTGTCACAGTATTAAATGCTTTGTTTTTGTAAAATTCCCTCGTGGCACAGTTTAATGAGCACATCTTAAACTGATGATTAAGAACCTCCTCTTGATAGAAAAGGAGTCGTGCAATTGCTAGCGTTTCAGTTTCAGACAGAGCTTGTGTGCAATATTTTTTTTTCCCATAAAACTCATAGCTACAAGCGTTTCCACTCTCCAGTCGTCATCTGGAGTCATGCTGTTGGCACGTTTTTGTTCACGAGAATTAAGACCACAAACATGAAACAAATGAATGAAAGCTACTTTCTTGTATTTGTCACGGTAAACATCTCATTTTATGATATATGTTTCAATCCTGAAACAACACACACATCACGTGAATGTTTAAAAGCATGCAAACTAATACGGTATTTGAAGAACACCTATTGCCTGCTTGGATTAGGACTGAGGATGCTCCTCTTCACCTGCTTGAATGCTCAGTCACCACAGTTGTTAGCAGTTTGAGGTCCACATATGACAAATGAACAATCTGTGACTTCCATTTTAGACGTTCTTCATCAATATTCAGTTAGGGTTGAGTTATAGTGATACTTTACATGGGAGTGAGGTATGGATCCAGGTATAGGATCTAATAATCATGGTTAGGTTCAAATGTAATAGCAGGGCATTGGCTTTGCCACCTGGGAGGAGTGTGAGTGTGCGTGGGTGTGTGTTTTCTCATTGATTAGATTAGATGATGAAGGTACGCCGAGTCCATGGCGGAGAGGAAGTAATAAAGTCCAATTTACTTGGTGATAACATTTCAAATAGGCTGCTCGAGGATGTTTACGATTGGGAGGAAATACATAGCCCCGGGATGCGTTCTGTAATAATATCATAAAAGCTCCTCACCCAAAACAAAAAGTTCAAACCTTTTGATGAGTGTGTGTGTGTGTGTGTTTTTTTTTTGCCTTTGCAGGTCTGAGCCTGGTGGTAGGTCTGGTGTTATACATCTCCAGTATCAACGACGAGGTGATGAATCGGCCCAGGGAACCCGAGCAGTTCTTCCACTACCACTACGGCTGGTCCTTTGCCTTCGCCGCCTCATCCTTTCTGCTCAAAGAGGTGATTCAAGCACAGCGCACGTGAAACGCACACAGTCATCTGTGCACTGCGGAATCCAAGTGTGCCGATAACCTAACGTCACAGGCCGAGGGCTTGGGAATCAGGCTCGGATGTTAGCTGAACGCATCTGAGATGCAGACACATGTTCAAGCAAGCAAACGTTCACAGAGCTTGAAGCTGGATTCAAATGAGTCTTGTTCTGCTAAACGCACATTTAAAAAGCGCCTGTGTAGGAGCTCGTCGTGCCGCTCACATCAATATTCATAAATGTTAATAGCTTGAATACTTGAGGGCAGAAGCTCTGTCACAGCACTGCTTTATATGCATCTGAATATTCTTTGCTGGATGGAGGGGGGGGGGTCCCTGCTGCACCTTCCTTATCCACCTTTCCTCTTGTTTTCCGATCTTCCCTCTTCCTCCTCTCTTTTCCCCTTTTTCTCTCTTCGGTTTTGACTCTGAACGCCCTCCACTTTCATGCTGTCGTTTCTCATCTTCATTTTTTAAATCCTCTGCGTCCCTTTCCCTCCTCGCTCCCCTCCTCTTATCTCCTCAGCTCTCCTCCCCTCTTCTCGTCTTGCTGTCTCTGCATCAGTTTCGTCTCCTCCTTCGCTCTCCTTTGTCAGCTCATTTTGCAGCCCTTATTCTCATCTCTTTTCTCTGGAAGCGCTTTATGTTTTTTTGTCTTTAATCCTGTTTACATTTTCTCCTAATTCCTCTGTTTACTCCACTTTCTAATTGCTCTCTTTTACACATTTGGTTTACAGCCAATCAGACACATGTTTTTCGGCTGTGTTAGAATCTCAATATCAGTTAATATCAGATGAAATAGCTGGAGAAGCCCAACCCGAACCCAATGTGTTTAAGTGAGAGGAGATCAGCCCAATTCAACAAGCATAAACTCAGATTTGCCGGATTCTTTGGGCACTGATACGGGCTTCCTCTAATAATCAGATTGAGATTCTTTGATGTTGAAATCCTCTGAGGAGTAATCTGGAACCAGATGAAACTATGTTCTTATCTAGAAAACCGTTGAGCATCGATTGACTGGAAGAAGATCTGCAGACGCGCACATGAACCCCTGTAAGTCGTTAAAAAGGCATGAACTGTTTGTGCCGTCTGTCTCTATCCCAGGGTGCGGGCGTGATGTCCGTCTACCTCTTCATGAAGCGCTACGCTGAGGAGGAGCTGTACCGCCCCCACGCTGCGCTCTACCGCCCCCGCATGTCCGACTGCAGCGACTACAGCGGCCAGTTCCTCCACCCGGACTCCTGGGCCCCTCCGCAGAGGGGCCGCAGCCCCTCCGACGTCTCCTCCGACATCTCCATCCAGCTCAACCAGACCCCCCCGCAGCAGAAGCCTCCTAAGGGGGGCAGCAGCTCCCAGGCCACCCCCTCGTCCTCCGGGCCCTCGTCGGCGGCCAGCTACCAGCTCCACCCGGCCTCCTCCTCCTCCACCTCCTCCTCCTACCCCCACCCTCTTCACCCAGGTGCCACCTCCACCCTGCCCAGGGTCTCCCACGTCCACACCCACTCTCAGCCCCACCCCCACACGAGTGGGCCCCCTCCCCAGTCGCTGCCCATGGCCGGACCGCACTCGGCCATGCCTCCCCCTCGCTATCACACACACACCAGAATGAGCGCATCGCCATGCTAGGCCCCACACGAAGGGCACAGGAGGGGAAACACTGGGGGTGGGGGATGGGGGGGGTTGGTGGGGAGGGGGGGGCGTGTTTCGATTGGCTCGGAACAGCATTTATACACACACGCACACTGACACAAACCCTGTACCTTCAAAGTGTGTGGGAGGAGGCCTGCTGCAGAACAGCTGAAGGAAGGAGGTTTAAGGAGATCAAAAAGGGAAGATAGGAGGGAAGAAAAGACAGAAGGAGGTTGGGGGGAGGCAGATGGGTGAGCGGGTGACTCACCGCCGATGTCTGGCCCGAGATAAGACAGATGCTTAACAAAACTTTTCACGAGGCAGAAGGGAGCATGGGGAGCCGGGAGCGAGGAGTCCGCTGATTAGTAGCAACAAGACACTGGGGGGGTTTCTAACGGGTACATTCATCATCAGGGCCGCGATACACAGGCGACAGTGTGAAGCCGCTCATGAACCAGGAATGCTGTCTTCCAGAGAGAAAACGACAAACAGGCTGCTTAAACAATGCGTAGCGACCATTAGCCTATCTCTAATGCACCTGCATTCGTAGAGAAGACCTCCTTTTCCTACTTATTTTAAATATCCTCTGACATTTCATGGACATGGTTTGAAAGGCTTTTGCATAAGTTAATGCTTTTTTTTATTTAAAAATGGCTGAATAAAATCCATCTGTGAGGTTGAAAGTATTCCGTTGAGATTAAGAGATTTAGCTTCTTTTTTTTCTGTCAAAAAGCTCCTGCAGAATTATTTTCGTCAGGAAAGTCTCTTGTTTGCATTTAAAGTTAGACGGGCCGGAAGTTGTGAGTCCATAATTCAGGGGATTGTGTAATGTCACGCAGTGTTTTGCGTGACACAAGCCGTGATTTATTCTAAAACTGTGACAAAGTTTTAGCATCTTCACAGTTTCAGATATGTGAAAGTGCAGCAAAACAGGGACGAAAAGCACAAAGACGCAGCAACTGAACCCAAACATGAGGTTTCACAGTGAAGCCATCTTGTTGGTCGAATGGCAACTCAAATTTACTTTGGATTTTGCTGCCCATTAAATGTGATAGTGCAGCATTTTTGTTAACGCTGTGACAGCGTTGTTTTGTTTGTTTGCCTATTAGCACATAAAAAACATTTTTATGGCATGTTCCATTTTTGCTGCAGGACTGCACCAAAACTGTAAATAGAAATATATTCAACAATACCAAAATATCAGAGCTTTTTATATGTATATTTACATATATAAATTAATAGACTAGATGGAAATGGATAGATAGATAGATAGATAGATAGATAGATAGATAGATAGATAGATAGATAGATAGATAGATAGAT